TTTCTGTTCTGAGTGCCGTTGCTCACATTTCTTTATGATATAAGGCATCGGTTTAAAGTGATATTAGGCATGCAGATTATTTGTCCCTCTTTTAAATTGAAGCGATTTGACTGAAGCGGGAGGAAATTTTAGTGGAGCGAGGAGCGGTGTTGAGCAGAGCGACTTAGTGCGAATTAGAGCGGAGGAGCGGGCGGAGCCAACAGCCTCGTGAGCGAGGAGCGGAAATTCTCACCGCTCCACTCCGCTCACATCTTCTGATTCAAAGCACATTTATATTTCTTTAATCCTCTCCCTGGGAATAATTCCTTGCCGACCCGACCTCACGGCTACAACACCGTCACCCGAGCAATTTTTAAATCCAGTCACTAGATCTACCATTATATTTCTTCTACAATGTAACATACACTGTTATCGAGAGTCTGGCTGCAGCTCCTCTTAGTGGGCCCTGTTTTACGCCGAACGCTGTAGTTTAACTTGAGCTTTGAGGACTGACTTACTGAGCTGCAGGTGCACCATGGCTGCAGCCTTGTCCGCTGTGAGCGCCCACACGTTCAGCTCCTCCACAGACTGCACATTCTCCAGGTTCTGCAAGGCCTCCCTGATCAGCCCCATATCCAGGTGTCTCGGCACCCCTGGGCGGCATTGGGGGGGCAATCTGATTAATATGGTGGCAAGACAAAACAGTCTGCCAAATATCAGCAGGCAGAGCCACATACATACTAAGCACATACCAAGTTTGTCGTTGTTGAATTAGGGTTTTTCCAATACAGATGAATGGACGGTCCCCACAAAGATATGAACACACAATCATCTGTGTGTGTGCGTGCATCCATTTGTGCCCTGTGATGGATTAGCATCCTCTCTCTTGTTTACCCTCCCCAGTGCTCCCCAAAACATGCTGCAATCTCACTGTCTCCCTGTAAATAAATGCCTATGGATGGATGAATGGATAAGATCAATTCTTACCTTCAAGTATGATGATCCCTGTATCCCGTATGATTCGCAGGGTTGTGAACAGGACAAGTATGGAGAAAATGTACGTGCAAATGGGATCTGCAATCTTGTACTCTGGCTGTAAAGAAGCAGGTTCAGTTTGATTAGAAGCAGGGACCGAGAGGAATCGGAATTATTCAACCCTTCCACATGGTAGGGGTTAGGCGGTCAGGCCCCCACGATCTGGAAAAATCGCATAAAATTTTGTGGTCTCCTTGGCGAGAGAAGCAAAAATATACAAGAAACGTGACATACAAAGTTCACTGCAAGGTCACTGCGAGAGGCTGCCGTAAACACGTATTTATGAGGCACTAAACGTTTTGTGTGTTGTCCGCAGCTTTCGCAAAACTCCCAAAGAATTCCAGTTGAATTTCTTATACTGACCCTGTGAAATATTAAACTGCAGTGGGGAAAGTAGCGATGCAGAAGGGAGATTGTACTATTTTGCAACTAAAGGTACTGAAAAGAACTCCTGGTTCACATCAGTATCAATGATTCAAGTGTTGGGCTGCAGAACCCGACCAGAACATCCTCCCACCTCCATGTGATTCTTGCTGCTCACTGAGGACCCCTATGGGCACTTATGGGAAACAGCAGCGCCGTGGCTGAGATGAATGTCTGCGTGTCTGTGCTCCAGCCTTCTGGGTCGTACCTTAAAGCGCACAATGTAGGCAGCAATGAGCACACCCACACTCTGCACCAGGTCTCCAAGAGCGTGGATGAACGCCGCCCGGACTGCGAGGCTGCCCTGATGGGGGCTGCCGGGGGAGGGCGTCTCGTCATGCTGGGGGTGGGAGTGAGAATGAAGGTGCCCCGACTGATTCAACAGGAAGCCCATTCTGCCGGGAAACAGAGAAGGTGCCCTACAGTCAGCTGCACTACATCTCCCAGCTCAACCAGACATTCTGGGGACGAAAAGCAAGATACTCAGGAGGCAAATTACCACTGAACACCAGAAAAAATGCATTCTACACAAAAACGTAAGACCATACAGAATAATGTCAGTACTGTGCCACACACAACAGCCTAACAGACTTAAGAAGCCGACTGCCTATGCAAACATCTGACTGCTCCCGCCAAAAAAGATTGCTAGACAGAATGGAGTTTGATTGCTCATGCCTGTTGGCGAGCTGCCGGCCGCTCCGACCCTCATGTCAGGCATGGTGAGCACATGGAGGTAATGGAGTAAAAAAGAAACCGCAAACACAAAACCGGTGATGTAAACAGAAACACGAATGTAACCAGGCAAAGGACACACGTCCACAAAAAGACCATACTGCATTCAGCGAAACACGTATTTCCTTTATCATCAAAATCTTCACCATATTACACTATCCCCATAGGCACCCAAATAACAGAAGTGAAATCACTGAGAATAATATTTACAAATCATGTGCAAATTCTGACACAGCTGTATGCATTGACAAGCAGAGCCTATCAAACCATCCATATCTCAAACAGTCTGATATGGAACTAGGGAACTAAGACAAAAGGGTATTAATAAATTACTAACTACGAAGTATTTTCTATTACCCTCCACGACTGGAATACTGAGGACTGCCCTTAATGTCACACTGTCCCCACAAATTCTTCTGTGTAACTTTTACAGTAACTGCTTCAGTCTTGGCGGGAAGCTGTGTGTTAGTTGTCCTGGCCTCTTCCAGAAAACAACGACCGAAAGCAGTTTGCAATTCTCTATATTTCTATCTCAACTGTAAATGAATAGCCGTAAGGGCTCGTACGTAAAGATATGTGATTTATGGCTCCAATAACAACACAGCACCTAATCTCTATGTAATATCTCCGTAACATTAAATAACTCAATAAATGAACCACACAAAAAAATGTGCTCATAGTTTCAATTACAAAAAAAAATACATTGTAGTTTTTAATTTAGGGTGAGCTGGCAGACTTCTCTGTGTCTGTTATTCTTTGTTTTATGTTTCGTATTTTATGTCTTTTGTTGTTTTTCTTTTGTTGATGTAAATCTGTACAGCACTTTGGTCAACCACGGTTGTTTAAAAGTGCTCTATAAATAAATAAATAAACAAACAAACTTTATTTGATTTAACTATAGAACACTTATGACATTCCAGTCAGTTGAGGCCATTGAACTCTGGCTCTTTTTAAAGGAGGCTCAGAATGCATTTTTTTTTTTTCAGGACTTTTAAATTGTTCTCTGCTGTCTACAGAAGGTATGTGAACGTGATTTGGCCGAAAAAATCCCAGAAGCCACTTTATGGACCCATTTACAACCCTATTACTTAGTCCTAGAATGAAACAGGCCGGTTTCCCTATTTGGTGGGCTCATTAATATGCTGCTCTGCTCTGATTGGCTGATTTACAGTGAGGCACTGCGATGACTCACAGAGAACTAACGTCTCTACAGTCACACGCCGAATAACAATGTTTCAGTCAATGACGGACCACACTTACTGTACAACGGTGGTCCCATAAGATTAAAACTGGGCTGAAATATAATGCCTAGTGATGTCGCAGCCGTGGTGACATCGTACCACAGCACATTACTCTCGTGTTTGCAGTGATACTGGTGTAAACAAACCTGCACTGTCAGTCGTGTAAAAGTATGGCACATATAATTATGTACAGTATATAATACTCAATGATAACAAGCAGCTATGTTGCTGCTTTATGTATTTACTACACTGTACTTTATTTGAGTGTAATCTTTGTACTGTGCCACACGTATCTGTAATACAACGTTAACAACTTACATAGTAGCATGTAACTGAACGGTACCAACCATCTAAGCTGCTAACGGGAGTCTTTGGGAAACTTACCACTGAACGAGACTCGCCTCTCTTAGCCTAATAGCAATAAGTAACTTTACATCAATAGCTGTCAGTGTATGTTGTTTCCTCGCTAAGTGCACTTCGGACACTGCATGCATGCTCCTCCAGAGAGAGGCTGTGCAGGTCCAGTGAGCTGGAAAGTGGGCTGGTGTATGTTAAGTTCGGGGGCGTAGTTAAGACTGTTGAGCTACATAACAGGCAGAGCGATAAAAGAACATTTCCAAAATTGATCTCTAAAATAAGTTCATTTATAGGTGTGTCAGCAGTTCGAAATAGATTTGCCACACATATCTAGGCAAGAAGTCATCTTCCCACTTTAAGATCTCAGTCGAGCTCTTTACGTGGGATTTGCTGCGGTCACCTTTCAGCGGTTACCATCTGTCAGCAGAATCAGGGTGCAGCCCCCACACGCAGTGGGGCTTCCATGCATCCCTTCTTTGGCTTCGGATTTTTTAAGAAAACAAACTGTCTGGGTGCAAACAGAATCCTGGGTGTGTCTCCGTGTCTCTTCTATGAAAATTACCTGATGTTACTTAACTAACAAAACCATCTTGATAGACATCATAAACATTATTACTGTAGTCTATCTGAAAAGTAGTACAGGCTTACTTCCTTAGTCTACATCACAAAGAGAATATATATTTCCATCCAGCAAATATAAAGAAGTTTTAAAAACTATGCTTAATGGAAGATATATTCGTTTAAATGAACTGATACAGAAGTGTGCACAGGTCAATCCGGCTGGTTTACATGAGGTTGACGGCGACCCCGACGGCCGCCGTAATGAGCATGACGTCTCCAGCGATCTCAAAGTCTTGGTGGAGCGTCCTCTGGATGGCTTCGTTCAAGAGCACCCCGGTCAGCATGTAGATGAGCAACACGCTGATGCCGGCGGAGACGACCTCTGAGAAGAGAACAAGCGGACTCACCACCATGCAGGAATACCACCCAAAAATCAAAGGTGGAAAGTTCAGGTTCGGGAAAGTATCCAGACCACAATTTTGTTTCAACCAACCATCTCAGTGTAAAGAATCACATTCACAGAGTCAGGGGCATTGCTAGAGATTTTGGGCCCCATGAAAGCATATCATATTAGGCCCTCCAGTCCAAACCAATCCAGTTATTTTCCTAATTTTTTAGGGCCCCTGTCACTCAGGGGCCCTTGGAATCGTCCTAGCTTTCCTCCCCCTTACGGCGCCCCTGCACAGAGTACTCCGAAAACTTTTTTAAAGAGAATAGGCAGACAGGTCCTGCATAGCAAAAATTTATACACTGCATAAAAAATACATAGAACTTCCCTCTACCCACATCATGCCATATTACTGCTGATAACTGAAACGAGACGTTTTTGACCACGAATAAGGGAAGAAATCAGGTGCGGGCCTTTTATCACCCAGATCTTTGCTCAGGTTTTAATCTGCACCTGATTATCACCTGACATACCCGGTGAAATAACGTCCCGTGCAATAGATCACTCAGTACAACAAATCATTAGCCGAGAATCAGCGCGCCACTGTTAGGGGTCGAGGGGAATGGTGCACGTACCCAGGCGGTGCAATCCGAAGGTGAACCTTTTTGTGGGTGGTCTCGCGGACAGCCGCAGCGCAAGCAAGGACACAATAACACCGATGAGATCCGTTAGCATGTGAAGCGCATCGGTCATAATCGCTAGGCTATTAGCGACATAACCACCTTGAGGCGAATTGTTAAAATGAGTTAACATTGCTGAGGAGGGGCAGACACAAATGCATTTTGCATTAAAACAGAGATAATTGTTGTGCATCAATATTAAACGCTGGAACTAAGCGTGCAGATGCATGTGACCACAGGCTAGATGATATGAATGCCGCTGTTGTGATAAAGGGTGTCTTACCTATGAGTTCTCCCACCATAAAAAGAAAATAGAGGACTGCCGCCAGTCCCAGTCTTTTGATCACCCTGCTTCTCTTGGCGGCGTCTTTGGACTTGCTGCAGGCGTCACAGGGCTCCGCACGTACCGCGGGGCCACCGGGGCCACCCGGCCGGGCGGACGAGCCCATTAGAGAGTCGTCTTCCCAGTCTGCAGCTCCGGAGCCGGTGGCTTCGGCATCCGGATGGTGCTCCATTTCCCCGGACACGACCACTTTGAGCTTGCTGAATTTGGGCATCTCTTCGTCCTCAAGCTCGTCGGAGAAGCCAAAGGCGGCCGTGTCGTTAAAGACCTCTCCGGGCTCCCGTCTGAAGACAGACCTTACCCGGGATAAAAACCTTTCGGTCGACATGGTTAGGGTCTGTCCGATGGCACGTCTTCCTGTTAAAGGGCGGCGATCTCAGCCCGCTACCCCTAAAAAGTCGGATCAGCTCTCCTGGGTGTGTCTCCGGGGCTCCGAACTGAATGCATCTGGTAAAACAACAAAAAACAGTAACGTGGGGCACTAAGGTATAGTCACAACCTCCCACATCAATATATTAATGCAATGAAATTGCACTAATACAGCTATGCAGCCAAGTCTTCTTTCCCAGCTGATAATGATTATATCCTGTTATAATGGTGACACCGTGTTACATTTTATATGAGCATTGCCGTACTCACGGTGACGGCTCGGCGTGGCGTAAGGAGGTCCTGGTCCAAATCCGAGTGACAGTCACAGGCTGGCGTGACAGAGGCGACGAGCACCTTCTGGCCAGGACAATAACAGCGGCACTTACACGGATCCGCACATTTCCCCTGCCTCCCAGTAAACACCAGCAAGCTGTAATGGATGGCCGGCTTCTTCAACTGACGATGTGATGTTGATGACGATGACGTTTCGAAACCCACGGTAGGTGGGGTTGACACGCTCCCACAAATGGGCTGCTTTCCAGCATTCCGGTTTCCGTTTACTCGTAGAAGAGCGCAAAGCGCCCCGCAGCCAGCGGCCCGAAGCGGCAGGGCGCTGGGCGCCGCTTAGTCACATGACCCGCTCTGGAAGGCTTCTGCTTCCTGGGTGGAAGGGCTCGACTCACGGGTTTGTGTGCATGATTTCACATTGTGCGTGTTTTTTAAAAATGTTTTTACAGCTTTGTGTGCTTTCATTAAACATAATCTAACTCGTCGATTTAGACGTTGCCCTAGAAATCAGGAGAAAGGTAGCTTAGATAATGGATTGGGGAATTATAATTGCTTGTGTACATTATTATATGGTATTTGCCAACTTTGACAAATAATTTTATGTAGATTTCGTTAAATGTTGTAAAAGAGGTGTACATATATTGATAGACTGTACAGCTGGTCGCATCGCAAAGATTGGTTATTTTTTACTGTCACTCCATGCTTTATCAGAACTCTGAAGGTTCTGTGACTAATGCTAATCCAATGGAGTCGGAAGAAAAAGAGCTGCAGTTACCGCAAAGTAGCCCTCCGGACAGAACCTCCTGTACAGGTGCGATTTCTAATGCTTTTTACGGGGAAGCTATATTAGCGTTATAAAACGGGTTAATATTTTATATGTGCATTAGTCTGTTTGTCACCGACGGCTGACCGTGTTAAATAAAACCTTGCAGTCATGTTAATGACTCGCCCGCAGACTCGAGCGCTGTGCACCCAGAATCGAGCGTCCTGGAGGATCTGACGCTTGTGGACAACGCGACCATCCAAAAACTTGCAGATGGGTTGATTTCCCATTATCTACCCGACCTACAGCATTCAAAGCAAACACTGCAGGAGTTAACGTGAGTGTGTATACGTTTGTTTATACGTTGCATTTTATAGATGCCGTTTTTATAAGTGTTTATGAACCATTGTTGTCCTCCCTAGACAAAATCAAGTGATACTGCTTGAAACCGTGGAACAAGAAATCGCGAAATTCAAAGATTGCAATTCACTGCTTGACATAAATTCGCTGGTAGGTTTAGACGCACGACATGTTGCGTGAAATTCTGCAAATGATCTAGCTCTCAGTGCTGACATAACTGCTGTTTCAGTTTACAGAGGCCAAGATATATCATAATAAACTGGTCAACATACGAAAGGAAATGTTGGTGCTTCACGAAAGAACGACAAAGTTGAAGGTATGGCGGTTTTGCTGTTGTTGTTGTCCTTGAACGTCAGTGTTGGCACCGGCCGCAGTAGGCCTATATTTGTCTTGTAACACTTGCAGAAGAGGGCATTGAAGCTTCAGCAGCAGAAACAGAGAGACGCCCTGGAGAAGGAGCAGCAGCATGAGAAGGAGCTGGAAAGAGAGCGGCAGCTAACTGCCAAACCGGCCAAACGAACTTAAATCACCACAAAGCGACGAAAGCGTCTTCCACGTCGTCCCTCAGATTTCCTCAGAAGTGAAGCTCTCAAGCCTTCCAAAACGGATGCTTCACAATAAAAACTAATTTGGAGGAAGGATGCTACTGGTGCTTTAGTATCTATGACGACCTGCAAGCAAGCTTTTAAAATAGAAGCCTGACAGACCAAATTTACTTTACCTGCCAACAGTAAGTTTAATGGAAGCTGAGAATTGCTATGACCAGTAGCCGTCTTGGGGAATGTGCCGGTATTTCTCTCGGACTGTCATGTGTGCGGCTCAGTGTGTTTGGATACTACGCCCATGATTGGGAAGTTGCCTGTTGAAATCCCATGACTGGCAGTGATGTCACCACTGGGGCCCCTGAACAAGGCCCTTAACCCTCTATGTTCCAGTGGCTGCTGACCCTGCATTCTCGGTAGTATGTTGCATTGTATAAAAGCCTATGCTAAATAAGTAGATTAAAATGTAATTAACCCTGTGCTGCGTCTCTAACACCATGTTCCTGCTTATGGTACTTTGTTAGAATGCCACAGTGTATGTTCCTTTACCTTCCTTGTCAAATGCGTGTGTATATAACCCATGTATATCATATGAGGAAAATATGATTTTGCTTTATGTTGAAAGCTGTCATGATAAACACTTTTGGAAATTGTCCATCCGTCATGGAGTTCATTCCAGGTACCATAGGGAACAAAGCCGGGCACACATACACATGCACTCTGTAATATTATCTTTGTGGGGACCGCTCATTCATTTCAAGGGGAAAAATGCTAATGCTAGTTGTGACATCCTTAACACTTAACCATAAGTAACTGATTTTTAGAAAATTGAGTTTTCCCTAGGAAACTGGTCCCCATAAGGTCAGAAATATGGGGATTCATCATGGTGTGGGGACATTTGGTCCCCACCAGGAACGGTACATCTGAACCAGAGACACCATGAGTAAGTTAGAGATGACAGCTCCCTAACTATGTCTCTGGGCTGCAGAAGGAAGCCAGCACAACACAGAGGGAACATGCAAACTCCACACTGAGAGAGCAGAGGTGGGATTCAGGCGCTCGGCCGTGTATGTGTGAGACAACAATCTTATCCCCGCCTCCCCAGTATTCAATACCTTTTATGTAATTTTGCAGGTTTACCCTGCAGTATCATTCATAACAAAAGTCACTAATGCGGCTCCAAGGGAGTTTAGCTTCCTACCAAATGACCCCTTTTCATCACATATCCTGGTTCTTGCAAGATTGCCCACAGTGTGCTAATTCTATGTGTAAGTAAAGCACATTGGGGGCTATATGGTGCGATTTCACTGACATGACTTTTCGAAAACACTGAATGTTTTAAAGTGACTTTTAAAATGCAAGAAACTTTTTTTATTTGTTTGACGTTCATTTCTTTTTTTCCTGACTCTTTAACACAGAGCAGAGGCTGAATTCGAACTCAAAATGCTATTTTCATTGTTTTTAAGTATCAAATTCAGGAAATTGCAACGGCTACCAATGGGAAGGAGACCTAAAGAAACATAAATTACACCACGCCGTTTCACAGATCTATGCAACCACTGCAATCAAAAACACATACACCTATCACAGCTGAGACTGACATCTTGTGGCCAGTTGTTGTCACGACACTTTACCAAGTTTCCCTCATGCGTAATATTGTATGAAAGATATTCTATAAACGCTAAGACTAAAATGTTCATTTTCAAATGTTAAGTGATTACACTTTCCTAAAATTACTTTGCAGTAATATACGCAGTAATATTGACCTACTAAAGTTGTTATGGAAACGGCTTCCTGTGTTGTCAGTTCGCGCACGAACTTTGAACAAGGGGAAGTAATTTTGAGATGTTTTAAGTACAAGCATATTATTTGCTTTGCCAGCAAATTAGTACACTAAAGTATATATTATAAATATCTATCGTTGCTCCAGCGTAAACCTGTTGCTTGCATCAACTTTATAGTGACCTTTGTCGACGACAGAGTGCAGCGGTAATGGTGTCGATGTTTCTGGGAGGTGTCACAATTTGGGAAGGACATTTGGCGACGCAGATCCGAAGACTCCTTAGCGCACCTCTGTATTCGTCACTCTCCCCGGGAAGCCATCACATATCTGCTGCCATCATTCGTCTGCACACGTTGATCCTGAAGTCTATAATAACGGTAAAGCCTTTGCACCTTTTATGCGCCTTTTCCGTTGTGGGATGTCGTCCTTTTTTGCATTAAACGCACTGGCTGTAACTAGTAGATGTTACCTTGCATGTTGTCACATGTCCTTTGCTTTCAACTTCTGCTGGTGGTATGTAACCTACTACTTGTTAAATGTAGGCTGTAGTTGTGAACATTACTACACATTACATGTGTCCTTGATTCAGGATGAATGCGTTGTCTTGATAAAAACAAAACAAAATTGTTACCACGTATGGATTTGTCTTTCCTCATACGCCCCGATCATGCATGCCCCTTTTAACAGGCGGTCTTGCGCTATGGCTGGTCCCGTACTGTGCTGGCAGCGGTCTGCGTGGATGTGGGCTCGCCGAACCAGACCACTTGTCCCCGGTGTCAGCCGGCTCCATGTCAGCAGCCGTCTGCTCTCCAAGGAGCATTACAAGGTTCTGGTGCTCGGAGGAGGCAGTGGAGGGATCACGATGAGTTCTCGTATGAAGAGGAAGGTCGGGGCTGAGAATGTGGCCGTTGTGGAGCCCAGCGAGGCAAGATGGCTTTGACTTATACGCATCTTACAAATGCGCTGGTGGACCAGATGACTGTACTGGCCTTTCGTCTAGGGTAATACAGCATAATATAGTATCGTCCCGCATAATACGGTAGTATACGGGTCCATGAGCGTCGTTAAGTCCAATCTACAGGGGATATAGTCCCGAGTATTTTACCCCCGATGCCAGTCTTATTTAAAAAACAAGAGTCAACCCTCAGGTAAACTTGACTTGACCCTGATCTTTTCAATAGCTAGAAACTAAATGTTACTGGACGCATGAGTTTATTTCCCAATACAGGACGATCCCGTATTATAGGCCTAAGGGGCGGGTGGCAACCCTGCTGTAGTCAGTGTGAGCGTCTGAATGATTTTGCTTGGTTGGAATGACTTGGCGCATTTTTATATCGTTCATCTTTAACACATACCTGTGAAGATGCTTTATCTTCTGAGATTGAGCAATATGAATGAATTTGAGAGATTTCCAAATTTACTGTGACTTCCTGCTTCCAGAAAAATGGCAGAGTAAGAAGGAGCTTAGATTGCTATCAGCACATATCTGGGGAAATGACCAAAGGAAACGCTGGTGAAATTTATAATGCACACACACATCTGAATTTATTTACAAATAATAGATAATGTATATAGGTTGTTTAATGTCTTAAGATCATGAGAGGTCCTTCCATCCATCTGCCAGCCACTTATCCAATACAGGGTTACGGAGCACAGAACATGTCAGGGTGGAGGGCAAGGGATTCCGCCACTAAGCAGCCCCCACCCTCACGCACCAGCAGTGATTTGGAGATGCCTCTTGCTTAGGTATATGAGTAGAAAGTGAATGTAACCATGTGAGGTGCTGAAGTGTGAAGATAAGTATTAAATAAATGCCAGGTGTACCAAGTATTATGTTACTATTCAAATAGATACAAATAAGCTGTCCTTTGTTATGTGATCCTTGCTAAGATTGTTTTTCCTGGTCCAATAGATGCATTATTACCAGCCTCTGTGGACGCTAGTCGGTGCTGGAGCTAAAAAGGTCCAGATCTCAGGGCGACCCACTGCCAGCGTGGTGCCGTCGGGGGTGACGTGGATCAAATCCCCGGTCCAGGAAATCGACCCCGACAGGAACACGGTTCGCACTGGGGACGGGAAGCAGGTATTCCGTCTTTCAGAAGGGCGATCCTTCTTTAATAAAAGTGATAGTAAATGCGATCTGATGGGTATTGATGGTGTTTTTGTCACGGTGCAGGCGAGGAAATGAGGGTAGCGATCCACTGACGGTTCCGAAGACAAAAGGGGTTTGTTAACAAAACTGAACACTGAGGGGAAAACCCACAAAAAAGGGACCCCGAAGGGTCAGAACTAAACACGAGAAAATAACTTTAAAAAGTCGCCCTCGTTTCCCCCCCTTCTTCATGCCGCTCTGTGACAGCTTTCTGCATTCCTGTAGCTTTCACTGTGCTAAGAAAACCATCTACACTGAACAGGGGTGTAGAAACCAGCATGGGGCAGGGGGAAGGAGGGGGGGGGGGCTGTGCCCTCAATATTTAATTAGACAACATTCATGCTCCCTAATAAACAATAGAGACCTTTGTATTTAAATTATTAAGTTGTGCCCCCTCCCATGGGCGTAAATTTCATTTAACAGTAGGGGGGACAATAAATATAAAATTTCTCATGAGCAATTTTTGAAGGGGACACAAATAATACAGTCAAATTGTACTTATAAAGATATGTCCCCACAGTGAAAAACTTTGCTTCTATCTATTGTAGCATGGAGACTGCGTCATTATGGTTACTTTCAAAGTTTTTCTCAGGTTCTCTCAGGTTCAAAGCAGATT